GAGGTTTGTGGCAGTATATGTCAACGTAAGCTTTATTTTAAAACTATATACCACTGTACTTTCAGAAATCCCAATATGTGGGGCTGGGTATGTAGCTCAGTGGTTGATCTCTTTCCTACTATGCACAAGGACCTGGGTTGGACTCAATATTTAAAAAAAAAAAATTAGTTTTTTGAGAAAAACTCTTGGAAATTGTAGTACTCTATGAAAATTCATAGTGTGTTGTCTTTGTTTTCTTTTGTAGTACTATTATGAGTTTTATAATCCCATATGAGTTTATAACCCATCCCTCTTAGTACCTTAAAGGTTTTCTAACTGTAAGGGAAAATTCCTAGTTTGAAGAGTTTGTCCCCTGGGACAGACACAGTTGTGCCATTTGTGAGCCAAAGGGAAGATAATGAAATAACTGGGCAAAAAGACTGTCTTTTTCAAAGATCTTCCAGAATAGTGCTATAATAGGCATTATAATAGCATTAAAAGCTTTAAATGGTACAGGACGATTTTGCTGGCTTATTTAAGAATATTAAGAACAGTGTAGGTGCACTGAAAATGCAGATGTGAATGCCAACCTTCAAAACAATTACAGCTGGAATATAAGCTTTAAAAAAGTAGTCGGATGTCAGTTAAACCATTATTAGTGCTTAACAAGACTGTTGAGGCAATTTTCTTAAGTCATAATAATTGAAAGCTTATATGTATTTACACAGATCCTCAAGTTGATGAGAAACCAAATTCCTATGATTTGATTGACAGCTGAAAGAGACCCCGGTTTCCTTTTTCCAAGTCATTAGGTACTGTATATATCCTCTTCCCAAAAATCTACTTTGGTTATGATGAAAAGATAACACACACACACATACACAGAGGGAGAGAGAGAAAAAATCTTTGCGTTGTCTTCAAAAATGAACTGGGGTGAAAATTACTTTCATTTTGATATAAAGAACCTGAAAAAATAAGCATCCCTACTAAATGCCTTCCTCACTTAGCCTTGATTCTTGAATTAAAGTACAATTTGAAGAATGCTTGCTTTTTAAATGGCATTGAGAGAACTCTGTGGGTGCTTAACTATTCACATTTCCATTTATCTTTTGAACAGTTGTGTAGTAATTTTCATTGCGTTTTTCTTATTCCCCATATTAAAGTAAATGTCAAAGCCTAGACTTCAGGTTGTATAATCCCTTTTTATGTGGCATTATCTGTGCCTGAATTATTTATTCTAATGTGCTGTATATTGCAAGTCTGGATTTTTATTTTTTTAAGACAAATTTGGACAAGCTCTTTCAGGCTGCAAGGAACAAACGCACACTCGCTTTACCTTAAGTGATGGAGGCTTATTGTTAGAATACAGAGTCAAGTAAGGAAATGGCCTCATCAAAGTCATGGCTTCTTGGAGAGTTGGAAAATAATTTCATCATCTAGTGAGAACTAGAACTAGGTGGCTGAGCTGTGTCCTCACTTTCAAAGTGGTTGTGCAGTGTTGTGTGGTCACAATATGTACCTTATTCATGTGTTCTCCAACTTCTCTGCCTATTTCCTGCTCTGCTACTTCTGTTATCCTCTACTGTCCCCGAAAGAGGGTCTGATTGATTCTGTTCATTATAATCCCAAACAGAGCCACCTAGGTAGGCAGAGATTATTCTACTGGGTCATTCTGCTACTGGCCTCCCTTATGTCTAGTCAAATGGTTGGTTTCCCTTAACTAGGGCATATATCCCTGGTACAATCAGTTGTGGCCTATGTACCACAGGGTACCACAAATTATATGGAAGGACCCATCTCTGGCAACTTAGAAGTGGTTGTGAACAGGGCAGACCTTAGAATCTCAGGGATTTCTCAGTGCAATCATGGATTTGACTAAAATCATACTGATGTTATACATTATTGTCAATATTGCAACTTCATGTTTAATCAGGTAGTGGCAAAAATATTCACTTGACAAATAGCAACATTGCATGGTAAAGAACATCGAGTTTGGAGCCATATTACTTTGGGAT